TCCTCCGGCAACCTCACGACCTCCTCCTCCGATACCCTCACGACCTCTTCTTCCGACACCCTGACAACCTCCACCTTCGACACCCTCCCGACCGCTGCCTCGGGTACTCCCTCCTCCGACGGCACCCTTTCCTCCTCCGATACCCTCACGACCTCCTCCTCCGGCATCCTCTCGACCCCCTCCTCCTCCGACATCCTGACGACCCCCTCCTGTGGCACCCTCCTGACCCCCTCCTCCTCCGACACCCTGACGACCTCCACCTCCGGCACCCTCTTAACCGTCGCCTCGGTTACCCCCTCCTCCCTCTCCATCGGGGCCTAATCCTCCATCTCCATCTTTGTATCTATCGGGCCATCGAGATATGAAGCTAATGCATCATCCGATGCCCACAACGAGTCAACATACCCCATCTGACCTCCTCGACTCTGATAACCACCGACCCCTCCGTCACCCCCTCCCTCCCGATAGCCGCCTGCCTCTTCGTCATCCCCTCTACCTGTCCCTCGGTCACCCCCTCCGTCCTAATAGCCGCCTGTCCCTCAGCCACCCCTTCCATCCCGATACTCGCCAGTCCCACGCAGGCCTACTATGTCGCCCCGTATCGCTACGACCTCAGCATAAAGGTCTGCTAAACCGACCTGTACCATCCCGACATCACGTCGCAAGTCAGCTACTTTACCTCGTACGCCAGCTACGTCGCTTCTGATCTCCATCATAAGTCGGAACATATCATCGATAGAAGCACCCTGACTACGTGCAGCTGATCCACGTGGGAGGTGTTCGGACGCAGGAGACGGTGATCTCATACAGGGAGGTGACACTCTCGACGGAGGTGATCGCATGTAGGGAGGGGACACCCTCGACGGAGGTGACATCCTCGGGGAATGTGACACCCTTGATGGAGGTAACACCCTCGGCAGAGGCGACATCCTTGGGGAATGTGTCACTCTCGGCGGAGGTGATAGTCGACGACGCTCCTGAAAAAAGAAACATTACAAATCAATAACTTCATTAAAAAATTATAATGATAATCAACATATTATATTCAATTAACATACTATGTCCCGATCGACGATGGACTCAATCCTCTCTCGAGAAGCACGATCTGTCAACAACTCATGGATATAAGTCTGATCCTCCTCCTCAATCGATGTTGTCAGCTCAGTGAGGACTTCAACTTGACATATTGACATTTCATCGAATTACTGACCACGTATCCAATTTGAAAATGACATACAACAGAAAGCGTAAATATATAATACGTACCTTAGGATCGTCTAGGATAACTGATAGCTGTTTTGCAAGGGGCTTGCCTTGTGCTCGCCAACGGTACATCCGAGGGATGCATGTATCCCCTCTCCTCGCATACTGACCAACCAGGACGGGAACAGTCTTGTAGACCCATATCTGCAATAATTACGATTATTATATGTACAATTTAATAAAAAATGGATAACGCATTATGTTAAACATTTACCTGCAAAGCTAACGGCAGGCCATATACATCGTACTTACGTTCCGACCTATCTTCCCTAGGCATCGAAGGCCACCTCCTGAAAACGTGTAATGTATCTGAAAAGCATCTCTCCCCCCACGGATAGTTGTTGAACGTATCGATGTCATCAACAACTTGTAAATAAAAAATATCAATCGACGTCTTCCTGTGATGACACCTCAGTACGCTCTCTAGTATAAATACCATCCCCAACTTCAACTTGTCGGACATCTGGTCGCATCCCCTGAATGCATCTCCTAACTACGCCAGTGTCACTGTCGTGTGCCCATTAAAGTAATCATTCAGCAGCCTCTTGTCTGTCAAAATACTGGCCCTCGCTGCCTCTTCGCCCGTACATCTCAATTCAGTGATGAGGGCAAACTCGAATATAGAAACTGTAGCAACTTTGCCCCCAAGATCAAAGTGGAGGGCATCTTCGTAAACTGAATTAAGCAGCCGACACAGTAATGAATCGAGCAACTGTCCAGATCACAGTGAATACAGGGCCCATAGGCAGGATCGACGTAATATCTTTGCATACTCCTCGTCCGGTGAATTCAACACTGCTGTGAAGCTGACAAAGTTACAGTTGGACGTAACTTTGCCAAGAACCTGTCTCAAGGCTGCATCCAAATGGTAATCCATCCTGCAAATTTTCAAATGTTAGAACATTTAAAACATAATGTCACAAAATTCAACTAATCGAACTGTAAGTAATTTACGCACGAAATAACAGATAATAAAGAAAATGAATTAAAAATTACAAACAACTTGTAAAAAAGGAAAAAGTAATTTTTATAAAATTATTTATTTCAAAGTTTATTTTAACCCATGTTAGAAATTTATTTCAATTTTTTATTTAATTAAATTTGATTATTTATATTTAATTACATATTTAA